GCTGGCTTATTTTAGAACTATATATCTTTGAAGCACTTATGGGCCACATAAAATGTTGTGGTGGATCAAATTTGGCCCGATGGAGTTAGAGACGTGATTTTAGTGATTAATATCAGAATATTTCCTGGGTAGTTTGCTGTGAACAACTCACCTCTCAATTATTTTAACTTTGTTCATTTTATTTAAAAAACACATTTAAATACAACAAAATACAAATCATATAAAATGAAAGGTAGTAGAAGAAAAAAATCGCATATCTGTCCCTATTTGCAAGAAATAATATTAATTTCAAACAATAGTAATCAAATAATTTAATTTCATTTAAAATTTTCATTAAAAATAAAATAATAAAAATAAAATAAAACACAAAAACATACATACAATATGCATAATTGTTTTCTTAAATCTTAAGGTTCAGACCTCTCCGATGACCAGGGTTTCTGATTCCAGCGTCATTATCATCTGAAATAAAGCCAGACACAATTTCACGTCTTTCTTTATTTCTCTGTGCAAAATGGAGACCAAAACTGCTGGAGTATTTCGTGGTGCGCAGTAGTTACCTAGCAACCAGAGGAAATTCAAAGACAGGGACATTGTGAGACGTAAAGCTGTGCTGGCTGAGCCCCTTACTTAAATCTGTGTTTCAGGTCCGGGATGTTTACCATGAGGACTGAATCACTGCTTATCCATGCATTATATGTGTCCATATGGTGATGACATTCACCCTCAGCATCACAGATGCACCTGAGCAGCGGGCAGCTATTAAAGCACCTGTGGCCTTGCTCAAGAAGGCCACGATGTGTGCATGGCRAGAAACTAGAAACTATCTACAACTGGGTGAGATGTAGCCGCACCCTGTTTTTCAGTTGAGGATCAAACTGGAGCTACTGGTTTTGGTGAGCATGCTCGTGTCCGACATGGTGGGAACCATGTTATTCAAGCCTTGAAGCCTTGCTCTGTGTCCGGGTCTCTGCCCTGTTCCGTGGGAGTTCCGCATGGTAGCATACTGGGCCCATTGCTTTTCCTATTATACATAAATGACCTTCCAAAAATATTGAAGTATTCAAATATTTTAATGTATGCTGATGATACTGTTCGTTTTTTGTCTGAAGTTGAAACAGAAATTATACGTTTATTCAAAAATTAGATCCAATCTGACATCTTCTGTTTCAAATATCTATCTTCATGCCATTATACTCTCAACCATGTTGTACTGTTTACCTGTTCGGTCTCTTACAACAAATGAAATCTTAGAACCCATAGTTAGACTCTACAACAGGGCCAACAAAATTCATAAAAAAAAAAACCTTCCTGGTTGGACTCATCACTGTACAGTTATTTCATTGTCTGATGCCTTGACTTTTCAAAATTATGTTTTGTATAGTGG